CTGAAGAACTTGCAGGAAGGGGTGCGACCGAAGTTTCATCTGCACTTATAAATTTCTTGAACTCCGGTAATTTTTCAAATGTAACAAGACTGAATCTGTTCTGTGATGGGTGTGCCGGTCAAAACAAAAACAATGCCGTTGTTCACACATTAGTGTATTACTTAGGTTCAGTGCAAAATGTTTTAGAGGAGATTGTTCTAACATACCCTGTTCGCGGGCATAGCTTCCTCCCCGCTGATCGGGTGTTCGGAAGGGTTGAAAAGTTACTCAGGAAGCAGCCTACCATTGCAACAAATGAAGAGTACTACAATGTATATAGTTCTGTTGGAGAAGTACGGAAACTTGGAGAGGATTGGGGATTGATTGATGCTAAACGTTTGGCTACACGATTTAAAAACATTGAAATGATATCTGAAAAGAAGAGGATTTTTGTGAGGAAAGAGAAAGCTGTCAACCGCAATGGACAAGAACTTACTGTTATCAAAGTGAAATCAGCACAGAATTTTAGGTTTGAAAGTGATTTTGAAACCTACAACAAGCCTCAAAAAAAGGCTGGCATTCTGCAAGGTCGTTCTCAACTCCTGTAGAGTCACTTCCACTGAGCAATATAGTGAAAGCAGCTAAGAAGAAGGACGTGGAGACGTTACTTGTGAAAATGTATGGTGATGACTGGCAGAAACATGACTTTTTATCTTGGTATAAGACCATAATAGTAGAAGTCCAGGACGACGAAATTAATGCTGACGAAGTGGACGAATACTGTGATTGTCTAGAACCTGACACTGGACTACACATTTAAACATTTATATTTTGTGGAAAGTGTCGTTGGTAAATGTTAGCCATTTTTCAAGATATTTTTTGTAACAATACCATAGATATTTTAAGTAGTCTAAGAGTTTTTTTATCAACCCCTTCTATCAACGTCCATGAAGTCCAATCAAATAAGAACATGTCCTTTTTTAAAATGTATTTACAGGTTTATTTATACCTTCAGATTTGAAATATTTACTAAGAGTCAGTTAATTTCAATAAATAAAATGATATATGCTAATTTATCCAATTTTTCATGTAAGGTTATTTACTAATACGTTTTTTGCGATTTCCCTAAAACTTCTTAAGGTGGACATGATTGATTTTGATTGACACCTCCTCAATTAGTCAAACCAATATATTTGTACGTGGATATACTTGGGAATTTTTATTGGAACAAATACTTTTGGCATCTTTCTTCTCAATTATAATCCCCAATATTTGATTTACTTTTTAGTGTTAATGATATCTGCCGTTATTTAATATCTCCCTAAATATACATAAAATAAAACGGATTGATTGTAAATAATATCTTCACGTATACAAAGGCCATTAGAGGTCAAGTACAAGAACAAGATTTTCAAAGAAAATAAATACTGTTGTCATCCATAGACTTGTTCGGTCCATATATAGCGCCTTCGGGATTATAATTTTATCAGAATGTCCTTTCTTATACCGCTAGAGTCGAAGTCGATTTGAAAATTCAGACACTGAAAATGTTTACAATGACTTTTATAAGAAATCTTTTTTTTCGAATTTAAATTGATTAAAAGTGAAAGGAGTTTTATATATATATATATATATATATATATATATATATATATATATATATATATATATATATATATATATATCCTTACAAGACATCAACTTCATTCCCATTCTTCTTTCCATATATTTTTTTGTTTGTTTGTTTTTTAAAGGAAAAGAAAAAATGAATCCCTTTAAAAAAAAAAGATCTGTCTCCGTTCCACTCGCTAATCCCCTTCATAATCGTTCGTCCTCACTGCATTCCAAAGACTTACTTTACTTTTTCGAGTCTGGATCCGACTACAGTTTTTCTGCCCAATATCGGGCTACGTCTACAGCCTTTGTATTTGCGAGCCATAAATCATCGAGGGTGCACTGTAATGGGCAATGTCTGCATACTCTCAGGTGCTCCACGTTCTGTATTTCCCCACATTCACAGAGTGCCTCGCTATCTGTCTTGATGCCACATTTAATGAGGTTCTGTTTTACAGGGGCAACACCTGTGCGCATGCGGTTGAGTGTCCGCCAGGTTCTCCAGTCCAGGTTCATTCCATTAGGTCGTTTTGGATGTAGGGGGAACACTTCGGGTGGTTCGACGCTGAAATTTCTCATAAACCTTTTCCTTGATTTAAGTCGGCTGATTCCTGGCGGTTCGTCAAACCCGTATAATTGGTGCCGTTCATCGAAAGTTTGCCTGAACTTCTCCACATATTGTGAGGCACATCTACGGTCTTCTGGTGATGCGAATCCAGCTACCCGGTACAGTAGGTGTAGAGGGGTAGGCTTCATACAACCGGTAATGATTCTACATGTTTCATTTAACGCCGTGGTGACTTGTTGGGCGTGTCTAGATCGACCCCAGACGGGGCAAGCATATTCCCCTGTTGAGAAACATAAGGCCTCAGCTGTTGACTTCAAGACCTGGGGGTTGCACCCCACTTGGATAGTATTATAAGGTTTTTTCCTGGTTTTTCCCTCATAATTTACTATGGAATCACTAACAGGAGAATTTTACTGTCATCATGTCATGTGTTTGTCTTTTTAGAGACGAATTACATGCTATGATTTTTTTTCTGATGGATATTCTCAAGTTAAAGTTGATTTCATGTAATCGAATGAACTATCTTATAAGTAAAGTCGTCCCAGGAGCGCAACTCAACATTATTGGCAATATCATTTTAAAGTCGTCTACTTTAAAATGCATAATGTATGTCTGAATTGTCAATATAAATGAGTCAGATAAAATTAAATTATTAGAAGAATTTTTCACTATGTAACAAAAAAACAAAATTTGTTTAATTTACTGTTTGTATTTTAAGAACGATTTCCGAAGTGGAAATAGAAACGTCAATAAACGTATTTTTATCTTTAATTGTGGCTTATTCCCAGTTAAATAGCAATTAATTTAAAATGCCACAAGAAAATAGCTTCAGAACAATATTAAGAATATCGTTATTACTAACTATGGTTCAGAGACCTGGACTCTAACCAAAAGTAATGAAAACTTGAGAGACCCATTTGTCAGAGAAAAAGAGGAAGATCCAGAACAAGGTTCCTTGATAACACCGATGAAGATATGAGAAATATGGTAATACGTTCTTGAAGCAAGACGGTGATGGATAAGGACGACTTTCTTTTGATTTATTGAAGTTATACTTCTATACGCGCGCTCGACGTTGGAAATTTGTACAAGAGTGAATTTGTGAAACCATTACATATGTAAGATATGAGTAAGAGAGAGACAGAACATATATTTTCTCTCTCGAGAATAAAAATGTTCCTTTTGTATATATAATTAAAATTATATATATATATATATATATATATATATATATATATAATATATAATATATATTAATATTATTATTTATGTGATATGTTTTGTATTATTTATTAAATGTTAATAATTATTTTAGCCTTTTGTATTTCAAAATAATCACTGTATGACCGAAAACTGTCAATTTTGAAATCCGTGTGTGTTATGTATAATTGGCGAATATTTTACGTGTTTGGTTCATACGCTGGTATATGTGAGTTCGAATCCCAATATGAATTTCCTTTTTTTATTTTGAAATATTTAAAAACCTTAAGTCAATCTTATTAAATATATGTAATATACGCAAAAATGCTAAATTTTAAAATAAAATGAAAATTTACAACATAATCCGAGTTGTTGGTTCTTTATTTTTATCTTCGTAAAGTAAGTTATGTATATTGGCAGTTTTAAATACTTATGAATATTGCATTTTAATTTGTATTGTATTATTATATTGAATTATGTTGCAGTGTATTGTATTGTAATTTTTATATTACTTAATAACAAAATAAATAATGAATTTTACTGCAGAGTATGTGTAAAATTTTTTTTGCATTCAACTCCTTTTATACATATATGAAAATAAAAATATATATTTTCATTAAAATATTGATACAATCCTTCATTTACTATACTCTTATTACAGGTCAAATATTTATATAGAGCAAACGATGCACCATATACCTAATTCTTTTTCTCTTTCTGCTCTCTCTTACCTATAGCATTAAATATCTAATGATTGTGCAGATTGACTCCCATATAAATTTGTAACGGCGAACGCGTAGAAGTATAACTTCTTGCCACACCCGTTTTTTTTGTGTTTTGTGCGTTCTCTTTTTTAAATCATATGTCGTTAATCATATGTTTCTCGGAATGACAGACGATTTTGATAGTTCCTCACGATATTTATCACTAGGACGACGTAATTCGGCAAACTAATCGAAAAGAGTCTTCTCTTTGAAGCTGAGATAATTTTGAACAAAAATGTTTATTAGCCCTTTTTGTGTCGAATGAACCGTTCTCAGAAACAAGTTTGAAGCGACCGGCGATTTTGAATGTCAATTACGCTCACCAATTTAATTTTAAATTAAATTTGTATCAACTCAACGGTAAAAATTCCATATCTTTTGATCAGAATGTAGGTGAAGAGTGCAGCTTTCGTATGCAATTGTTTTAGTTTGCCGCAAATAAATTCTATAAATCTGTTCAACAAATAAACTTTGCCCGATTTGTATCATTTTTACGATTCTCATTAGATCAATAAAATTTATCACTTTCATTAACTTCCTAACCTTCAAAACATAACATGAATGACATAACATTTCGATTTTGGGCATTGGAAAAAAATATTAGGCATTTGAAATATGTATAAAAAACGTAGAATTTAAACTTTTACAAACATCACGAAATGTTTCAATGAAGACGGTATTGAATGTAATTTTGTAGCCAAAGTTGTGTAGGTTCGAAAAAACGGACTATGCAATTGAAAAGAAGCAGTTTCAAACGCTTCAGATCGTTTGTAATGCGAAATCAATGCATATAAGAACCAGTTGTTGAATTATGTTTTTCTGAATGACTTCGAACCTTTTTGTAGCCATTTAACAACGTTTTGTTTTTATTACAGCTGATAGCAGTCCGAGATTGGGAAAAATCAGAAAATTCCATACCAAAAATCAGGAAAACTTCGAAGTACCTTTCACCTCAAGCGAAAGTGGCTTCGACACCGAAGTTGACTGTCCAGATTCGCCCCTATGTGACGAATCCTCCAGTGAAAACGAAGAAATCACTAGACTACAATCAAAAGTGGCCTTTCTGGAGCAGATCCTTAAACAGAATGGTATTCCCGTGCCCAACACTGGCTGTGAGGTTAGTAGTGACGAAACATGAGAATTGTTGTAGGTTAAAATCTGCATGTGCAATAGATTTGTATTTTGGAGTGACAGACAGTTTGAAATTTGTGTAATATGTTTGCTATTTAGGAAGAAAAAAATATTCTATGGACGTTATTCAAACAGATCTTATAAATTTAAAATTCTTGTTAATATATCTGTTTTTTTTTTATTCAATTCTTTCCATATTTTCCATCTTTTTTTTTGTTGACTTGGATTTTTTCATCGCTGGTTGTATGATTTCGTCCAAACCATGAGTGAGTTCAGTGTACATTTCTTATTTGTACGTTTATGTTACAGGCTTCTGCGTTCTTTTTAATATTCCTGTAGGTCTCTCATTTTCTGGTTTTCGTGTTTGTATTTTCGGTTTGTAATTTCATTTTGTACTAGTTTATGGACGCGGCCAAACCTTTCTAGCCTTTTCGACTTTATAAGTCCCAAAAGATATAATCAGTAACTTGTTCTCTCACCTGAGTTCTTACCTTTTTGATTCGAGTTTCTTGTAAGGATCACGAGATGTTGCCATATATCTTGATTTTTGTATTTTGCTGATGTTCTTGTCTTCTATCTGTGTTTACAGTACAGCACATATTTTGTACGTTCTTCATTTTGGGAAAACCATATATACGATATTATTGGTTTCGGTTTTTATCATTGTATTTAATATGATTTTTAACTTTTTTACACATAATCCCTTAAACAAAGTATTCAAACTTCTATTACATTATTTGGTTGTACTTTGTATACTTATTCATAAATTAAGGACTGTGACCACCTCCATTTTGTTTGTTTATAAAATATTGATTTTCAAACTCAAAACGTATCCTCTCAAACCACATCCAGTATACCCTGGAATCATTTATTCTGTGAAATTCATTTTTTGTAGACCAATTTCCGTAAACATTTTAAAGAATTTTTATGTTTAACCTTGTCATTTGCGTTTTTTTAATCTATAAAGCATGTACTTACGTATTTCCTTAAAGGATTGACTGCAAGTAATCTTTATCGCAGTTTGATATTCGGATTATACCAAAGAGTACCAGTATTAATTAACATGTTCTAAGACCAAACGTTTTAGAGGAATGGTTGCACTAAGAGCTTTTGTTTCGTTATAATATGCTTTTTGTTATTGGAGAAGCTCGAGAATTTTAGCCTGGATTCAATCAGTTTTGTTTTTATATTATTTATCTCAATCAGTATTATTATTTTAATTGTCTCTCTAATAATATAAGAATATATTGCTCTGGTGCTGTCGTTCTAAAGCTTCTCCATAAATATTTGAATTTTTTATTACAGCATGTTAGTTTGTGCACTTATTTTATTAATAAAAGTTTGATCATATGTTGTTGTTTTATTTATGGAGAAGCTTTAATAAACGAATTATAACGATGTCTCTGTTTAGCTTTTCTTGAATCATCATTTAGATTACCTAAATCATTGTAAATGAAAACTGACATAACGCAGCTAGTATTAATCCCGAATTGACAGACCAAAATAAAATACACTGATGGCTACCTCGGTAATCAGTTTAGCGTAGACTGAAATCTAATGAAAATTTGGCAGGTTAAAATTCGTGACACGGTAGAAGTTAGAACATTCTTGCGAGATTTGATAAGTAAAAGAAAGTCTACAAATAAATGACTATCTCTGTAATCTGATTGTCATAGACCAAAATACTCAGAGAGTTAAACAGTCGGTTGAACCGAAGAATACTGTGGATGGAGAAAATTTGCTGATTCCCTGTCGAAAATAAGATCCTCTAAGTGGTAACAATAAGATGCCTGGCAGGTAAAGAAACGAGAAATATATCTATATAAAAGGCGTGATGACACGTCACATCACTTTAAGTCCAGTAAACTAACGACGTCATCTAAGAAAGAAATATGAACTACCATATTTCATTCATATGTTGTTCTTGAATTTTAATTAATAATACTGTATTAATAATATAATAATATTAATTTCAACTCACAATTATTCGTATACGTTAAAATATTTACCAAATTAATACTTTGATGGAAAAATAAAAATACCTAGAAAACTGATAACTTTAGGTATAGGGAGTACTTCATAAAATTTTAAGAACGATGTTAGTACTTCAGAAGAGTTTCTTAGTGTAAGAAAATAATGTACTTGCATTTTGACTTACTCTGTATTTGATTTATCGAATATTATGAAAACGAATATGTATGTTTTAAATAATATATTATACTTCATCTAATATACATACCGATGCACGTCATTATCAACATCATATTTTCAACTCCATTTTAAATCAAATAGATCACATATTTATTGCAAAAGTATTACCATCTCTTTACAACGACTATTTAAATTCTTACGTGAGATTTTTGAAATAAAACACACTAATTTTGTTCTAAAAAGAATAGATTTTATTAAATAGGTAAAAATATAAAACAAGAGGTATTCACTTTAAAATTCAAAATAATAAAGTACAAAAAGTGTCAACACCGCAACTGTCAAATAAGTGTTACCAATTTATGCCAAAATTTCACCTTCGTTCGATTACAGTTACAGTGTGTTCCGAATAAATGTTCTTCATAAAAACGCTTTATAATGCATATATACAAATTAAATGAAACACATTATTGTGTATTTCTTTAAATTAACATTAATAGAAATTTTTAAATATTATTTCTACGCTTATATAATAAAATATGTCTAGTGGCTGTCATGCCAGTGTACTCGGCAAAGTGATTCTAAAAAAGAACACACTTATCGCCTAAATATTTCGTGTTGGTATCATGTGACGTCACGGGCTATGACGCCGATGACGTGTATCGATACGTAAATTAGATGAAGTGTATATAATTTTTAACAATTATTAAAAAACTATGGTTGCAATAGATCAATGTTCCTATACTACTTTTTAATTGTACAGGGAGTTAAACTTGATATGATTTTCAGGTAATGTTGGTTATAACTTTTTAAATACCCAGTATAACATAATAAAACTTACATTGTTGTGATGTGGAAGTGAAGCAGATTTCGAATTTCAAATAAAATACAGCGTGTTTCATTTAAAAAAACATAAGTTTGGTCTGCCTACATCTTATGGAACACCCTGTAAGATTGTAACTAATTTTAAAATGTGGAGTTAGCTGCCTACAATTTTTGTCAATAACTTTTTTTTTGTAATTTTTACTACTAACAGATCTACTGAGCTTCCTCACACTAATCAATCACCATGTATAATATACAATAGCGTAGTTGGAGAAGGTATTTTTTAAATTTTTGGAAAACACGATTTTTAGATTCAAAACTTCATAATTCATAAATAAGCATGCTAAACCACTATTGTATTGAGTATTTGACAACTCATACAAAGTATGATATTATAAAATTAAAATTGTCATGTACCGTAGGTAACGAGAGAAATTAAAAAAAAAGGTCTGGAGGAAAAAGGCAAAAACGCTGTAATTGACAAAATAATATAATATGAATTCAACGAAAGAAAAAAATAAGCAGAACTAGACTTGTTTAACTTAACTAAAGCTAAAAACATTAATATTATCTGTTAAATGAATCAATAACATTGTAAAATTCTTAAGATAAAAAATAAGTCGGTTTTTTTAGCTGATCAAAATACATTCTTCCTTTTTCTGAACAAATTTTTTTTTAAATTTGGATATCTTTGTATTTTGCCATTGAATTTTTGCCACGAATTCTTTTCCAGTATACGGTGGTTCCCTACCAGTCACTTTTTGTTAATTACAGCCGAAACCATTGTTCCATTGTAGGTGTCTTTGAAATAAATTAGTCTGGGATGTTGCTTTGAAATGTTTAATTCTCTTATTTGTCTAGTTTTAAAAGGTGCTTTTGTAACATACATAGGTGCAAGAAAAGTGTGCCAGATACGTACCAAGTAGTTATCAACCACTTCTACTTTATAGGGCACAGGTTTTTGACGAGCCAATCGTAACACTGCTTCCCAATCTTCTGGGGTTTCTGCTGCACTTTTTTGATTAACGATACCAAAATCTTTATCCGTCTCCATGTAAGACTGGCCTCTTATAAGAAAGGTCACAGAAATAGAGTCAAATCTGTTTATTTTATGGACTAAATAGTGTAGAAACCAGAATTACCGTCCAATTTTTATTTTGGCCTCCACACGAATCACAGAAAATCACTAAGTTACGAACTTCAGGAGGAAGCTGGATTGTCATATAGTCATACAGAAATGAGCAAACTTCATTGGCACCCTTTCGAGCTACTGTTTCAGGGTACGAGTACATAACAACATCATTATCACTAAGTCGATGGACATTAAAGGAGTAGAAAGACAACTGCCTTACATCGTTACTCGTAATATTAGGCATTGGAAGGTTTTTATTATACTCCATGGCTATGACTTCATATTCTCTTGAGATCCTTGCTCGTAGTTTAGCTTTTGTTTTTCGTTTGTAAAATGTCTGTGCTTTCAGCAAGTGGAGTTTCTGCCCTGTTTTAAGTTTATTAATTAATTTTTCATCTTTACATTCCCTTATTTTTATTCTGGAAGCATCACAAATGCTGCGAGTGTCGGTTCTGGGATACCCAAAGGAGATATTAAAGCGTGTGTTGAATGTTTTTCTATATACTTCATAGCACACTGCTCTATTGGGATGTTTCTCAAGGAACATTTTGTACATCTTTTTAATGTTAAGTTCCTCTGGCAGGTACTTCCTGCTAGATTTTTTTAGGCTGTAGTGACTCATGCGTCCTTTGAATGATTTTATGTGATTTAAAATTAACTGCATAGTCTCTTCAGACAATTTATTGGGTCTTGAGCCATGTTTACCTCTATTGTCCTTGGCGGTTGTACCATGTTTTATGGCTTTTTGTACAGTTTGTAATCTTCTCGTGGATATACCATGAAGAGCAACAAAAGATTTTTGACAAACCTGAACGTCTTTTGCAGGTCATGTATGCCCCGCATCATTAGTTACCGCAAGGCGAATTCTGTAATAAAAAGAG